AGAAAAATTTGACAAATTAGCCTACCTGTTTTTATTTATGTAGACATTTATGTCATCGAAATTAAGTATATATAAAGGTTTAATTTCAAAGAAAACTTTTCTATATGTATTACAGCAATTTTAAATATACACCCAATAGATCTATTAAATGAATGTCATCTGGAGCAAAAAAATGCACAGGGCGGGGCGGGGCTTAGCATAAGTGGGAACATTGGCCTGCATGCATTGAAACTTCTGCAGAAAGTTACCCCACAGACGACAGGACCAATTACCTCGAGTGATGCAGTGTGATCACCTGCAACACTGTTGATGAGCAGTGACAGTTAGACTTAAATATGAAGACTATAGTTGTACATATGTAATTTTCATTTATGTTGTTAAAATTGCTAGTGTTATTTTCCAACATTTTTAAGTCCGATAAATCATTGTCCACACAACTGAGGGTTTAGTATACTTATGAAGCAAAGAATATCTGAGTAAAGAAGGGACTAGGGTGTGCAAGTGAAAGTGGGTATAGGGGGATTGAAAGGCACATGACTTCACTGGGTTAGGCTCTACCCACCGTTAGAGGATATCAGCATCTGTGTAGTGGACATTGACAAAGATGGAAACAGGGAACCATTTTCTGAGGAAGTTGGTGGATGAAATAGTCTGGAATTGAAACAGGTCTGGAAATGACCTTGATTCTCCTGTTCTTGACTCATATCAGCTTGATGTCCTGGGATCTGGTTGTTAATGTGCAGTGCCTGTGCTAGCAGCATCAGCATCCTCTGAGAACACTTAGGAATGCAAATTCTTGGCCACGCCCCAGTCCTACTTGGCTTGAGGTCCACAAAACTGAGTTTTAACAACTTTCCAGATGACTGTGATGAGCAGACACTTCTCCTCCAGAAAGAGAGGAGGGTGGAGGGTCCAAATGCAATGGAAGTCTTTTTCTCCCACTTTACTCAAACTTTACATTTCATTTTGTTTTCAAAGGGAAAGATCCAGAGAAATATGATGCCTCAGACTTTAGCAAAGAAGAGACAACTGGTTTTAGCCATGAGCAAGCGGAGATGCAGTGATAGGTTGGAACTTCCTATGAGGCTGACCAGCTGCATTTTCAAGAGTGCAGTCACCAAGGTTACTGCCCATCCTGACAATGTGGTCAGGCGCAGGCGGCAGGAGGAGACCTTGGAGAAGCCCCAGCAGATGAGTGCCTACAGGAGACTGCAGGGGCTCCAGGCCTGCAGCAGTGAGGAAGAACTTGTAAATACTTTTGATGTGACAAGTATGATGAGAACTCGAAGCCCAGTGCACGAATTCGTGCACGGGTGGAGTCCAGCCAGCCCACCCCAATCAGGGCTGATCAGGCCAGGCTGGCCAGGGGGAGGGGACTCAGGAGGTTGGCCAGCAGTCCCCACCCCCTGGTCAAACTCTCGGTCAAACTCCCAGTCAAGGGGACAATTTGCATATTAACCTTTTATTATATAGGATAACTGCATCAGGAAGTGTAGGTGAATGCCTGGGCCATGCTGGTCCTGGGTCTCTACACACCAGCCCCCAGCCCAGTGCAGCACAATTGTTACATTGGGCAGAGAGGATTCCAGGAGCAGGTCTCTGTGGCTCACAGCTTCTCTGCAGGCAAGTGGTCACCCATAAAGATATCCAGAGGCAGATTATCAGAGTGAAGAGAGCAAGAGAGAGACTGGCTATGGCTTTGAGAGAAGACAGGCTGGCCAGGGAGGCAGAGAGCCAGGAGCCAAGAAGAAAGTTGTAAAAACTGAAGGACAACTAGGAGAAGGTTGTGCTGAAAAAGCCGTGTTGTTACTTTTGGGGAGTGGTTCACTGTGAGAACGCCCTCAGCATACCTGTTTCCTTTCATGGCAATTCTGTTTCTTGCTCTGGATTCTTATGCTTTGTTGTATTAAATTGCATGTTATTAAACTTTTTAAGGACAGAAATATGAAGAGTAGATGGTTTTGTGGGTGAGAGATTGGGTTTCATGTGACAAGAAATGAAATCTTGTTCACCTCACTTTCTGTTTCCCATGATTTTTATTCACTTATATTAAATTCTGTAGAGGTAACTTTGAGATTGACCAGTTATAATATTTTCTTATAATACTTACAATCAAGGAAAAGATACCTACTTTACAGAGATTTTTTTACAGAGATTTTTAAATGGTAGATTAATTACAATAAATCTGATTTTATTAAGCTTGCTAATATATCTCATTCTAACATGAATTGCATTGTTGTTTTAATTTTAGTTTTGTTTTTGATTTTTTATTTTTTTAAAATATATTTTATTGATTTTTTTACAGAGAGGAAGGGAGAGGGATAGAGAGTTAGGAACATCGATGAGAGAGAAACATAGATCCGCTGCCTGCTGCACGCCCCCTACTGGAGATTGAGCCCACAACCAAGGTACATGCCCTTTACCACAATTGAACCCAGGACCCTTCAGTCCTCCGACCGATGCTCTACCACTGAGCAAAACCGATTAGACCCCATTAATTTTTTTAGAGAGAATGGAAGGAAGGGGGAGAGACAGAGAGAGGGAGACACATCGATTGGTTACCTCCCCCATGAACCCCAACCTGGGATCCTTCAATCCAGACTGATAGCTCTATCCACTGAATCAAAATGGCTAGGAATATTTTTATTTTTAGGCCAAATTCTAATTCAGACATAAAATATTATAATATAATTTATTTAGCACTTATGCCACCTGTTACAGCCTTATGTTACTAAAGTAACCTTAGATTCTTTTTTTAAAAAAGAAATTCTTATTCTAATTTTTTTCCCATTTTTTATTGATTTCAGAAAGGAAAAGAGAAGGAGAGATAGAAACATCAATGATGAGAGAGAATCATTGATCGGCTGCCTCCTGCACGCCCCTTACTGGGGATTGAGCCCGCAACCCTGGCATGTGTCCTTGACCACAATCAAACCCAGGACCCTTCAGTCCACAGGACAACGCTCTATCTACTGAGCCAAACCAGCTAGGGCAGTGGTCGGCAAACTGTGGCTCAGCAAACTGCGGCTCACGAGCCACATGAGGCTCTTTGGCCCCTTGAGTGTGGCTCTTCCACAAAATACCGACTTCTGCACATGGGCCACGAAGTTTCAATCGCACTGTACATGCGCACCCGCACATGGTATTTTGTGATATTTTGTGGAAGAGCCACACTCAAGGGACCAAAGAGCCTCATGTGGCTCGCGAGCCACAGTTTGCCGACCACGGAGCTAGGGCAACAAAGCCAAGTCTTATCCGGTTGAAGAGAAAGATGTCACACACCTCCTTCATGAAGGTACTTGGTGACTATGATGAACCAAGACAAAAATATATTTTATAACCATGTCTCACAATATGACAAAAGTGGCAATTCCAAATTTTAAAAGTGGCCAATATTGCCCTCTTCTTACTAATGTGACTTACTGGGTCTTCTTACAAAATAAGTGTAGCTACACTACATTGCCTCCTAAATAATGTTTGTGATGACCAATAACATACTATGTTGACCTCCTCAGAGCCTTGAATAGTCATAATAGCATCTATCACAGGCCAAACCCTATACAAGTCTCCTGATCAACCTTTCATGTCACACAGCACAGTCGTGTGTACTGTGTGGTTATTCTTACTATTAGAATTCATTACACCCTTCACTTTGACTACATTCTCGATCATACAGACCACTGGCAAGAGGGCAATGAAAAAAACCACGATTTACAGTTTTGGTATTCAGACTGAATGGCAATTAGTGTCATGACAAAAACTGTAACTATAAAAAAAAATAACAAAATATCCCTTAAGAAAAATTACTTAAACATGAATGAATATAAAAAAATTAACCCATGTGGTACAATTATTAATGAGGAGAATTACAAAGTTTATTTGAAAATCCATAATTGTCATGAGACATTTTAACTTGTCTTCTCAGGAAAAACACACACACAATATTTGTTAGCATACCAGAGCTTAGAAAAGAGTTAATAAAATGCTTTTATGAAGCAACTATAGAAGTGTTCATTTGACCACAAAATACATGTACTTTTACTCACATACAACGAAACATGACTGAAATATATTGAAGAATTACATGCAGCTACAAGTAACAGGCAACACCCAGTCTTTCTGACAGGTGTAATTTTTTTTGACAGCACCATTGTAGATGTCACGGTGAATAAGAAAAACGTACTGAATGGCACTGTTAACTATAGGAAGGTGTTTCCTATACAAATTAGACCTTATACAGATATGATCTAGATAGAGGGGAATCAGACATAAGCATGAAAGTCTGATCAGTTTCCTGGTGGACATAAGAGGGCTTACAGAAAATCCAAACTCGGAAGAATCTTTGATGTGGATCTTGTGAACCCATCAGTGGAAACCTACACTTCTCAGAAAATGGATATGAGCCTGGCGGGCGTGGCTCAGAGGTTGAGTTTCAACCTATGAAGCAGGAGGTCACAGTTTGATTCTCGGTCAAGGCACATGCACGGGTTGCAAGCTCGATCCCCAGTATGGGGCATGCATGAGGCAGCCAATCAATAATTCTCTCTCATCATCAATGTTTCTATCTCTCCCTCTCCCTTTTTCTCTGAAATCAATAAAAATATATTTAAAAAAGAAAATGGATATTAGACAGCTGGTGGTGGTTTTAAGGATAGTCTTGATTGGAAGGTCAAAGAATCCAGATAACAGGCTGGAAGATTTTGTTCTTGACACGCCTATGTCTGTTTGTCTATGTTGTGAATGTTGGCTCTAAAATCTGATTAATGCTTGCCCTAACTGGTTTGGCCCAGTGGATAGAGCATCGGCCTGCGGACTCAAGGGTTCCAGGTTCAATTCCAGTCAAGGGCATGTACCTTGGTTATGGGCACATCCCCAGTAGGGGGTGTGCAGGAGGCAGCTGATCGATGTTTCTCTCTCGATGTTTCTAACTCTCTATCCCTCTCCCTTCCTCTCTGTAAAAAATCAATAAAATATATTTAAAATAAATAAATAAAATCTGACTAATGCCTTCTTCGTTTTTGCCTTCCAAATCTCATGCAAGTGAGGCTACTAAGGAACTCTAACATGGACCATAAAGGAGATGGGTTCTGGAAAATCAAGGTCCTAACATTACCCAATGGGAGGGGGAAAGCTTCCACTCTTGATTCTGTTACCCCATCACAAGTGCCTCTTCTCAATTCAAAGTCTATTCACCAAACAGCAGTCCCAAGGAAGAATGAAAGCAAAGGTCTAAATATGAAAATAATTCACATGTAACTATATTCTTTCCTAAACTTGCCACACATAAAATTTATTCCATGGATAATAGGAAAAGGCTCCTATACCCACCACTCCCAAAAAGGAGCTTTGTCAGAGGGAAACGAAGAATCCTATCTAATAAAACACAAAAAGGGTAATTAACCGTACCCTCGCTATGCTTCCCATTGGTTAATCAGGGCGATATGCAAATTAACCGCCAACAAAGATGGTGGCTAATTTGCATATGTAGGCGCCAAGGGACAGAGCGAAGTCCGCTGGCTCTGGGCAGGTGCAGCGAGCGAAGGCCAGTGTGGCAAGCGAAGAGCAAAGCCCGCAAAGAGCTAAGCCCCTCGCCCGCCGCGCCGGCCCCGCCCCCCGGGCCCACTTGGCCAGCACAGAGCTAAGAGCTGAGCCTGCCACGCTGGCTCAAACCCCGGGGACCACACGGCGGGCGCAGAGCTAAGCGCGGAACCGGCCATGCAGGCCCTGCCCCCGGGGCCCCCATGGCCGGCGCAGAACTAAGCGCTGAGCCCACCGTGCCGGCTCCGCCCCCAGGGCCCCAGCGGCCAGCGCAGATCGAAGCCCACCGCGCCAGCCCCTCCCAGGCGAAGAGCGAAGGCCTGGGTTCCGGCGCCGGAGGAAAACTGGTGCCAGCAGCCAGTGGAAGAGGCCCCTGAGGGGCCCCAGACTGTGAGAAGGCACAGGCTGGGCTGAGGGACCCACCCGAGTGCACAAATTTTTGTGCACCAGGCCTCTAGTATATATATAATGGACTAGGGATATAAAAGACTGTCACAGGACACTAGGAAAACCCAAATACCAAACTGTCATTTTTAATGGCCCTGTAAAACCAAACAAATAAAATATTATAAAAAAATATTTAACATAACTGCATATGAAAAATAGACTTCAATTCACCCATGTATCTAACAGGCTACAAGATAGAGAGAAAATATTATTAACTGTTTTAAGAAAAGAGCACTACCTATCAATCTTATATACTATTTTTTAAAGACTCTCATTACTATCTGATGTGAGTATTCTTTTCTTTTTTTCGATTTTCACTATGATTTTATTGCCATACTGAACAGAAAGTCTTTTTTTTTTGAAACATTAAAGTTTTTATTACAAAGTATTAAAAATATGCTGGACTATTCAATAAATGGTGCTGGGAAAATTAGCAATTCATTTGAAATAAAAAAATAAAATGAATTCTTTTTTTTTAATCTTTAAATTCTTTATTAGTTAAGGAATTACAAATGTGTCCTCATTCCCCCCCCATTAACCCCCATCCTCCCCCCCCCCCAGAAAGTCTTAATACAAAGAAGGAATATGTGTCAGGTTAAACACAAATGATAGTCACCATGGTTATTAATGAAATGAATACACTTTAATACAAAATAGGAGGTGCTTCCATGAAAGAATTATGACACAACCAGAAAGGTCTATCCCAGCATAGAGATACTGCTTTTTGGAAATTACAGGGTTAGAGACCAGCTTTAAAGGGACCAAGGTAAGAGTCTTTATTATTTTTTTTTTGTCATACATACAGATGTCACTGCATGTTCTTTTATTTTTTTAATTTTTTTATTGATTAAGTTATTACATATGTGTCCTTATCCAGTTACCCACTCATGCCCCCAGCCCCCTGTTGTCTGTGTCCATTGGTTAGGCCTATATGCTTGCATACAAGTCCTTTGGTTGATCTCTCTCTCTTACTCCCACCCCTCCCAACCTTCCCTCTGAGGTTTGACGGTCTGATCAATCCCTCTCCATCTCTGGATCTGTCCTTGTTCATCAGTTTATAATGGTCTTTATTATCCATAAATGATTGAGATCATGTGGTATTTTTCTTTCATTGACTGGCTTATTTCACTTAGCATAATGCTCTCCAGTTCCATCCATGCTGTTGCAAATGGTAAGAACTCCCTCTTTTTTACTGTAGTGTAGTATTCCATTGTGTAGATGTACCACAGTTTTTTAATCCACTCATCTACTGATGGGCACTTAGGCTGTTTCCAGATCTTAGCTATGGTGAATTGTGCTGCTATGAACATAGGGGTGCATATATCCTTTCTAATTGGTGTTTCTAGTTTCTTAAAGTGGGATCACTGGATCAAATGGGAGTTCCATTTTTAGTTTTTTGTGAGTATTCATTTCTGAAAGTAACTAATAGAAATCCACAGCCAAATGATGAGGTATAGAAAAGGGTTCAATAAACACAATATATTTACAACATTAATGAGGACTTTTTCACGTTGAAAACTTTCTGGCACATTCTATGTGGATTAATTTCTGTCAAGCTTTCTCATGTTACTTACATCTTAATTTCCTTTTTGGAGTGAATTTTCACTTGTAAGAATGTGGACCAATTCAAATCTTTCCCAAACTATTTACATTCAAGAGTTTTTATCCAGTGAGTCCTTTCATGCTTTTGAAAGAAACTGAGCTAACTGAAGCCTTTTGCAAATTGTGCACATTAATATGATTTTTCTCAGGTTCTTCAGATTTTGAAAGGTTGTGTGAGAAATGAAGAATTTTCCAAATTGCTTCCAAATATAGGATTCCCTCCAGTGTGAATTCTTTCATGTTTTCGAAGATAACGGAGACAAGTAAATGCTTTACTACATTTTTTACATACATATGGTTTCTCTCCAGTGTGATTTCTTTCATGTATTTGGACACATTGATGAGAACTGAAAGCTTTGCCACATTCCTTGCATTCATAGGGTTTCTCTCCAATATGAGTTCTTTGGTGTGTTTGCAAGGAACTGGGATCTCTGAAGGCTTTACCACACTCCATACATTCAAAAGGTTTCTCTCCAGTGTGATTTCTTTCATGTTTTTGAAGATCACTGGGATACCTAAATGCTTTACGACAGATTTTACATTCATGGGGTTTCTTTCTGGTGTGATTTCTTTCATGTTTGCGAAGATAACGGAGACAACTAAATGTTTTACCACATTGCTTACATACATATGGTTTCACTTCTCTGTGATTTCTTTCATGTCTTCGAAAACTTTGATAACATCTGAAAGTTTTCCCGCATTCCTTACATTCATAGGGCTTCTCTTCAGTAAATTTATTTTCATGTCTTCGATAATTTTGATAATACCTGAAGGTTTTTCCACACTCCTTACATTCATAGGGTTTCTCTCCAGTGTGAACTTTTTCATGACGTCGAAGAGAACTGAGACAACTGAATGCTTTACCACACTGTTTACATTTGTAAGGCTTTTCTCCAGTGTGGGATCTTTCATGTATTTGAAGTGAAGTTGAAGAACTAAAGGTCTTCCCACATTCCTTACATTTATAGGCTTTTTCTCCATTGTGATTCCTTTCATGTTTGTCAAAACACTGAAGATAACTGAAGGTTCTCCCACATACATCATAATTATACAGCTTGTCTCCATAATTTTGACACTCAGATGGCTTGTTTCCAGTGTGACTTCTGATATGCATATTATGGGATGACTGCAGCATGAAGACTTTCCCACACACACTGTATTCCCATGGTTTTAGTATAGGAAGAGATTTTTTCTTTGGACTGAGATTTGGAGTAAGGCTGAAGTTTTCCTCACATTGACTATTCTTCTCCCCTTCACAGACTCTCTCTAATATTGGATTTCTGGAAAAATTTAGAAGCACATTACTAATTATTTTTTCATCAATAACTTTAAAATTATTACTAGAATCTTTGATGATTTATTTTCATGATTTTCATGATTTATAGCAAAATTTTAGGTTTTCCCCCACTCTGCGTGGATGATTAGAAACAATGTACTGAATGCTTTGCAAGAGGAGTTTTCCTTTGCTACTATCAAAACAGTGATATTCATGTAAAGGATTTATCAATACTCTTTCCATTTAAATTACTTTGCAAGTATTGACCTTCTTTGTCATACATAAAGTAATTTGGTGGAAATTTTCTAAGAAGTAATAACTGTGAAGCAGAAGTTATTTTGGTTGCTTCTTTTTTTAAAGTATATTTTTATTGATTTCAGAGAGGAGGAGAGAGGGAGAGAGAGATAGAAACATCAATGATGAGAGAGAATCATTGATCAGCTGCCTTCTGCAGGTCCCACACTGGGATTCAAGCCCACAACCCAGGCATGTGCCCTTGACAGGAATCAAATCCAGGACACTTCCGTCTGCAGGCTGATGCTCTATCCACTGAGCCAAACCAGCTATGGTTGGTTGCTTCTTTTGAAATCTGGTAGCATTACAGGTTTCTCACAAAGATAGTGATTTCTATTCTGAGTGTGACTCACCTTCGTTTTCCCCTTTGGTTTCTGTACTGATCTTCAATGTCATAAGCTTCCCATTTCTTTCCTAAAATGCAGAGCCAGAAAATTGATTCCAAACTATTAGAAACTGGAGAAATTATTAGATTCTATTTCTATGATGTGCTGTGACCATGCCCAGTTTATTCACCAATGTCCTCCCTTCCCACATTCCACATCTGAGAACAAGGCTGATCGCCAAGAAACACTTGTCCTCTAATTTACGAGGTGAAGATAAGTTGTCATCCTTACCTATGGAGGCCAGGTTCCTGAAGGTTTCCCTCATCACATCTCTGTAGAGTTTCTTTTGTGACGAATCCAATAAAGCCCACTCCTCCAGAGTGAAGTTCACAGCCACATCCTCAAAGGCCACTGAGTCCTAAAACACCCCAATATGTGTAAAGTAGGATCAGTCAGACCAATAGCACTGGACACCCAGACTCCATTTATAGGAAGGTTACATCTGATTCTGTTGTCTCCAGACATTTATTCTATGATTTGATAATAAGAAACTCATTTCTGTCCACATTTCCTTCCTTATAAATTTACCAGCATCATGAACACATGGAAATTGTTTACACATTGTTACTGTGATCACATTACATCCTTTTCCCCCACTTATGGTAGGGTTCAGAGAATTCTGAAAAGGACAGAATTGCTGTTCAAATGAAACAAATATTATCATTTTAAGGCCATCAATTTTTTGTGAGAAACATTCACCTCTTTCTTTGCTGCCCACCATTTACAGCACTCCATGAGGCAGATGTTAACATCTGCAATGAGGTTTCAATGAATAAAAACATAGTCAAGAACTACAAGCTTTTTCCTCTAGTCCCATCACCAAACATGAAAGTCCAGGAGGCCTGTGGAAGTACAACTTTTAACAAAGTCCGGCTGGCCATGTTCTAAATTCTTCCAGAAAATGAGAAGGAACTGTATGCAGCTGGCTGAATGGAAATATTCTTGTAGAGAAGCAATGCTCTTACCTGATGTAATATTTACCACAGATTCAGTCTTTCTTTTCTCTTTGTCTGATTTGATAGGTTAGAAGTTTATTTGGAACTTAGAGCTCAGAGAAAAGGAAGAAGGCACAGCAACTTACTCCACCAATCCCCACACTCATGTGCCTCAGGTTGCTTCTTGGCACACACAGGCACACACACCGAGGTAATAATAGGCCAGAAGAGCTCTTTCCAGCACAACCATGGCAGTCTATCCTGGGACCTGCTGACAGGGAGGAAAGGCTCAGAGCTCAGATTGCAAGGGAGTGTATTGATGTCCAGACGTCCACAATGGTGTGATCATGAACTTGCTCGTGATTATAACGTATGTAAAGGTTTCAGTAGTGATTTCCTCCAAAGGAACATATGACATCCATTCTCCAATCAGGAGGAAGGGTTTCCTGACCAGCCACTCTAGGGGCTGCCCTCCCTTCTTCTGTCATTTCCAAGCTCCCAGGGGAGTAAAGGAACAATAGCTCAGCCCTCAGCTGATGACAGCACACACCACCTGTCGGGCATGAAAGGCTTTGTCCCTGTCACAATGGAGGTGTCTGCATAGAGCAGGGCAGCCTCTCAGGAGGGCATTAAGTAGCCTGTGGGAGAAAACATGGTACATGGGCATGTTGTTTTAGGAGGTTACAGGGTGAGCGTGTGTGAGAGTTCACACACAAGGGCAGGAGCTTGCAAGGATTCAATCATTTGCTACCACAAGAGGGCACCATGGTGTACAGATGTGGGGCACCAGAGAAGAGAGGAGGAACGAGGCTCTAAAGCTGTCAGCAATCAATCAAGAATCCGAGCAGGCCCTGACCGGTTTGGCTCAGGGACTGAAGGGTCCCGGTCGATTCTGGTTGGGGGCATATACCTTGGTGCGGGCTCCATCCTGCTTGATCCCCAGTGGGGGCATGCAGGAGGCAGCTGATCAATGTTTCTCTTTCATTGATGTTTCTACCTCTCTATCCTTCTCTCTTCCTCTCTGTAAAAAAAGAATCGGAGCAGGAGCCTGCCGGTTTCTGGTCTGGCGTTTAAGTAACTTAGAGGTTATCATTTCCAAACTCACAGGGAAAAAAAGCTAAAGAAACATGAAATGAACTTCTCTTCTTAGATGTATTTGAGCATTTACATCACAGGGCAACTCAGTGGTGTCAAAATTGGAAAAGAGAAAGTAAACTTGGCATTTAGAAAAATGTCCCAAATATTCTGTTCTTAACATGGCCTGTGTTAAAATTACAGCAGACTCTAATGCAAAGACAACGACAAAAAAAACAGAACACCTTAGGTACCTTCTTCCAACAGAAGGTTAAATATGCCTCGTGGAAATACCTGAAGAACATAAAAGACAGAAAGGAACACAACAAACCAGTAAAGTAGCAACCACTGAGATCTTCGTCAAATTAATGAGAAGGCACGCTGTAGATCCAGGATGGTGAGAAAACACTAGACATGATAAACAACAAAAGTGCACACCCAAGTGTCTGCTATTCAACTATACAAAAATCAAAGACAGAGAGAATACAGTGAAAGAATTCAGAGGAGGGAAACATCTTCGTTATATAGAAACAAAAAATTAGAATGAAATCAAATTTCTTTTCAGAAACCATGCAAGAAGAGAATGAAGTAAAATATTTAAAGTTGTGAAAGAAAGAAAAAAAAAACCATCACCTAAAATGGTGTGTCAGGATAAACTTACCTTTCAAAAATAAAGAATAAGGGCTTCCTTAGGCAAAATTTGAGGAAATTTCTTACCAGTACACCTACTTTGAATAAAATGTTCAAAAATTCATCAGAAAGACTGTTAATGGTAAATGTGAAGGCTTAGGAAAAAAATTAATGAAGGTAAGCTATCTTTCATATTTGTTATATTTAACATATGTCATTTTGTTTACGATATTAGAAATTATGTATTTGGTACTTTCAAACTATGGATAATTGAAATAAATGACTGCAGTGTGACAAGGGACAGAGAGGGGGGAGTTGGGAATAATGAGGGATAGGTACTTGCACACAGTGAAGTGGTGCAGTGTGACTCAACAGAGGCGGCTGCTTAGTTGTAAATGTATACTGAAAACTCAAGGGCAACCACTACAAAGTTTAAGAAAAGATGTGTATTTGATAGAAGAGATGAAAAATCAGATCAAATGCTCAATTAAAGCCAGAGAATGCAGAAAAAAGAAAGATTGAAAACAATAAAACGTTGAGCAAGTTAAACCCAAAGTAAGCAGAATAAAGGAATAAAAAATTAGAAAAGAATGTAATTGTAAAAAAAAATCAGTGGAAAAAAAACAAAAACAAAAAGTGGTGTTTTGAGATGATTGATAAAATTGATAGGCACCCAGTCAACATAACTAAGGAAAGAGAGACAAAAATTACAATTTAAGGCCATGATGGGTAAGTCTAAGGAGATAGTATGAGAGGTGATCAACAAAGCCTATATAGTGAAGGGGTCTAGGAGGACACTGCCAAGTGTGCCTGTTGTGTGGCAATTTAAATAGTCTAGAGCAGGGGTGGGCAAACTTTTTGACTCGAGGGCCACAATGGGTTCTTAAACTGGACCGGAGGGCCGGAACAAAAGCATGGATGGAGTGTTTGTGTGAACTAATATAAATTCAAAGTAAACATCATTACATAAAAGGGTACGGTCTTTTTTTTTTAAGTTTTATTCATTTCAAACGGGCTGGATCCGGCCCGCGGGCCGTAGTTTGCCCACGGCTGGTAGAGCATTGGTTCTCAACCTTCCTAATGCCGCAACCCTTTAACAGAGTTCCTCATGTTGTGGTGACCCTCAATTTCATTGTTACAAATTGAACATAATTAAAGCATAGTGATTAATCACAAAAACAATATAATTATATGTGTTTTCCAATGGTCTTAGGTAACCCCTTTGAAAGGGTCTTTCGATACCCAAAGGGGTCGTGACCCACAGGTTGAGAACCGCTGGTCTAGAGGCAAGTATGTCAAACTCATTCGTGGCATGCGGCCTGCTGTAATCCACAGACTAAATTTGCAGTAATCCACAGGCTAAATTCAAATGTTCAAAGGAGAAGCACTGGGGATAATCACTTGTTTCTAAAAAGTTTCTTGTAACAGTTTTCAATCCTTGAAGGCGCTGTTTAATTTACACTGAGCCATATTAACTAATTTAAGTAAGGGGTAGGGACTATCAAGTCCCATTTTGAAAAAATATATTTTATTGATTTTTTACAGAGAGGAAGGGAGAGGGATAGAGAGTTAGAAACATCGATGAGAGAGAAACATCAATCAGCTGCCTCCTGCACACTCCCCACTGGGGATGTGCCCGCAACCAAGGTACATGCCCTTGACCAGAATCGAACCTGGGACCCTTGAGTCCACAGGCTGATGCTCTATCCACTGAGCCAAACTCGCTAGGTCAGAAATACCTGTTCTTACCACCTGATGGGCTCACTTCATTCATGGGGTATACTCATTCTTGTACCACCCCTTAGGCCCACCCTACATAACCCCAGCCTCATTCATACCTTCATACTAAAGACACAAAGGTTTCAGCCAAGATACTGACCCCAGGACCACTTTAAGGAGGGTCCCATTCCCATACTCCTGATCCCAAAGAATGAAGAATTACCTAAACTGTCAACCCAGAGTCTTCTGAATACAGAACGAAGGCCAGATGGACTCAACAATACACCACAGGGCAGCTCAGCTCACAGGAGGGGCGCCCCAGGAAGCAGCAGCTCCCAGAGCAGGAGCCTCCAGGTTCTCATCAGCCCGGTGAGGACAGGGGGGAAGAGGGAGCCTGGGGGGGAGTGGCTTACCTTTCCCAAAGTCAAATCTAACATGTGGAGCCCGACCACTCATGATAATAACAAGCCCAAGTATGAAAAATAGGCATATACACTGGCTTGTTTTTATATAAAGACACACTAACAGGATGAGCAAGAAGTGATCAAAACTGGTCACTTGAGGGTGGAGGGAGTTAGAGCACAGGAGAGAAGCAGGATATGCAGGCAATGACCTTCTTAAATTACCTTCCTCTCAGGCATTTAAAAAAAACTTTCCCACTCTTATTTATTTAAATCAAGAAAAGAAAATTAGCCCAGGCAGCATGGCTCAGTGGTTGAGCATCGACCTATGAACCAGGAGCTTGAAGTTCGATTCCCAGGCGTGCACACACCTGCTCAGTCCCCGGGTGTGGGGCGTGCAGGAAGCAGCTGATGAATGATTCTCATCATTGATGTTTCTATCTCTCTCTCCCTCTCCCTTCCTAAAATAGATAGATAGATAGATAGATAGATAGATAGATAGATAGATAGATAGATGATAGATAGATAGATGTAGATGTATATATATATTTTTTCCTATGATTAATCATCATTATTAATTAACTGCTTTTTAATATTATTTTTAACTTTTCTACATAGGAAACCACTCCAAAATTTAAGCCTTTAGAAAGTAAATGATGCCAAACCGGTTTGGCTCAGTGGATAGAGCATCAGCCTGCGGACTGAAGGGTCCCAGGTTCGATTCCGGTCGGGGGCATGTACCTTGGTTGCGGGCACATCCCCAGTGGGAGGTGTGCAGGAGGCAGCTGGTCGATGTTTCTCTTTCATCAATGTTTCTAACTCTCTATCCCTCTTCCTCCCTCTCTGTAAAAATCAATAAAATATATTTAAAAAAAAAAGAAAGTAAATGATATAAAACTGCAGAGTATAAAAAATTTACAAATCCCTTTCTAACTGAAAACAAACAAACAAAATACCAAAGAGATTTATAATACCTTTTCATCCACTGTATTTCACACTCTGGATACTTTCAAGAATGAATAGCATAGTAAATACATTAGAGGCTTGCAATTCAGCCCATACCAGAAATTTCAAAAATTTACATAAGTTTTGATTTGTTTCCTCATATCAATGAAAATCAAAATTCAATTGTTTTCCTCCAATCCATTAAAATAGAACTTTATTTACTTTAGGAATAGTGTAGCCTTTTACACTTCAAGTTCCCTAGGACAGGCACACACAAAACTGACCTAAAAATGGAAAATGCACCTGAGAACTTACAAACACTCATCTCATGTTTACATGTTCTCTTGCCTGAATGGGAACAAAATTTTGTTTGGTTTTGCACAATCAATCTCACCTTATTCACATCATTTCCCTCAGTCAAGTTATACTTTAAAAGCCCAGATGCCATGCAAATGAGAAGCAAAGGGCTGCAATATTCAAGGGATAAAGGAATCCAATGAAAAGAAACCGCAATATTGGAATCAAAACAGATAAACAACCTACTTCATTACAGTTAAGGAAAAAACCCACATTGAGAAATTTGAATACAATCACACCCCTGAGAGAGAACCCCTAGAGTGGGAAGGATGGGAGGGACACCTGAGCAGCCCCAGGGGTAAACATGGGGCTCCACACACCCTCCCCTCCGGTAAGCATGGAAGCCTCCCTCCCCCAGGCTTCCCTTCTTACCAGTGAGGAAACTCTCAACCCGATTCAATTCAAGGTCCTGAACCAAATGAACTCCCCAACTCATCAAACCTCTGTCCAGGAGTCAGGACCCTGATCCTCACAGACTTTCTCCATGTGCAAAAATTACTCTCACAGTGCAACTTCGCTGTGGATGCAAAACTCTGACCTAAGATCTAAAAATGTCTAGGCCTAAGAAACTATAACCTCAGCCCTGGCCGATGTGGCTCAGTGGCTGGGAGCGTCGTCCCATAAAACGGAAGGGCATGGATTCCTGGTCAGGCACGCACCTAGGTTGCAAGTTCGGTCCCCAGCCTGGTCAGGGCGAGTGCAGGAGGCAACCAATCGATGTTTCTCTCACATTGATCTCTAATTCTCTCTCTCTTTGTCTCCCCGCCCCCCCTCCCACTCTCTTTAAAATCAATGGAAAAATATCCTCGATCCTTGGGTGAGGATTAAAAAAGAAACTATAAACGCAAAAATGGGATCACCCTCTTCCTTCACTCCCTCCCCCTTGTGCACCTGCACCCCCAGTTTTCCAGGGCTCTAGCTTCTCTCGGGGTAAAGGCTCCTGCCAACGTAGGACACCTGCAGGGGTGGTTCCCCGGGAAGATTAACTGGGTCTTTAAGAACTTCCCAGGCTCATGGGAGTCTTGGTTTGAGTCACTGACCACAGGACTCTAATGCCCACTGGAGTTGCTGTGGAACCACAAAAGTCCAGTGTTTAAATAATTCACCAAAATCACGTACACGCAGCCTCATGTGGAAAGGAAGAAAATTGTCAGGGTCTTGTACTAGCCAATTAGAAAACTTCTGATGCCTATTATTTTCAGGAAAATGTCAGTTAACTGTATTTCCAGGGAAAACATTGGTTTGTAAATAATTAAATACTTGAACGCTCTACTCTGCAAGTCTAAACCTTGCAATTTGATTTGAAAACACCCAAAGTAAAAAAAAAAAAAAAAGAAAAAAGAAAAAAGAAAAGCCAACCACGTATCTCAGAAACTTACTATACATGCTTAGAGGAATATAGAAAGAATTCTATAGAAATGGAATGTAATACTGATATATTTTATTTTTTCTGAAAGTCACCTCTTTCTTGCCTGTTTGAAAGTATTTTCTATTGTGTTTCAAGCTCTTATTAAGTATACTTTATCCCTATTGAAAAAAGAAGACTTAATCAATGCATCTTCTCAAGGTGACAAGACCCTGGGAGGGCAGTGTGACAGTACAGATTATCCAGTTAAGCTTCGAAAGAGGAACCTCCATCCAAAGAACTTCTCAGGATGCCTGTGCCCTGGGCAGGTCCTGGGGAAAGAGGGAAGGGGGTTCCAAGCAATCTGATTTCCTCTCCAGTAAAATACCAATAGACACAAAATAAATCTTTACAAACTTAGGGTCTTGTCCCAGAAAGAGCTAGGTTGGAGGCGCAGGGTTGTGGATTTGAGACCTTGCTCCCCAAACATGTGGGAAACTCAAGAGAAACCCAGTCCTCCGGGGGACACAGAAAGGGCTGGGGTCCAGTTAAGAAGCGTCCCTGTGGGAAAAATTGTGTTTATTAGAGTTTATTTGGTCCAAACAGAGGATTCGCCTAAAAGCAACATCTCAACAGACTGAGAAAAACGCTTCTCAGTAAGAGACCCTTACAATTTTCTTCGTTTGCAGTGTCTTTTATGCGTTTGGCATTAAGGAGGGAAGGAAGATTAGATTGTGGGAGAAAGCCAGGTGGGGATTGGATTACAGGACACGGAAAAGATTATGCGCTCCCCGAGGGCGGTGATGTTTCCAAGAGGCACTGCGAAGGTGCGCTCCCCTAGATGCACAAGAACAAAGGACAGGGCTTGCTCAAGGCGAAGGGAAAGCTTTACTAAAGGAGCTGTGTGCCGGGCGTGACTAGCGACCAGGACCTGCCTAGTTAGGAATTTATGATCTGATCACGCTGGTAGGTTACTTGCGGTTAGATTATTACACCCCCCTCTTTTCTCCACACCGGGGACCCCACTGACCACAGCTCCTCCCACACATCAACCCGGAGACCAAGTCACAACTGCCCCCTGACTACCCTCCCGTGGTCACCGAACCATCTGGGGAGAGTTGCCCAGGGAGGTTGCGGGGCTGAAGTCCCCGCGTGGAGACGGGAAAGGACGCCCACGCTGAGTGCCGGCGGGGACAAGGTCCGAGCATCGCCCCAATGCACTGGGGTCCTCACACTCCCAGGTGATGGGGTGAGGCCAGTCCCGCCACAGCCGGTTTCAACCGGTTCCAAACAGCCCCTCCTCACGTCTCTGCACCCCGCCGCACACTCACCATGTCTAGGTTTCCTGGATCTCCCCGAGTCCTTCCTAGGGACTCCCCAGACCAGTGCAGATCACAGCGCGACAGACGCTGCAGGAGACGCACTGAGGACGGCGAAGGGCAGGCAACCCGGGACCCTAGCACTTCGGCAGCCTGAAGGGATGAACAGCCTGAAGTTGCCCCACCCACTTGCCCCAGCGCGCTCTTGATTGGACAGGTCCCAAGGCTGAGTGACAGCCAGAGGGAGAAAGAACCCTGGCTCTGCCTACACAGCCTCCCTTGGTGAATGGGAAGCTAATCCAGTTTGGGACTTTGCCATAAACAGAAAGTTTTCTAATCCTGAGGCTGCCCATGTAGTTTCCCCCAGCTCTTTGTGAAGGCGAGGGCACAGGTGTGCACAGGGAATCCTGATTCAGTTTCCAGACGGAGCAAGTTAAGTAAGGACGTGAAGGTGGCCCAGGCCAAGCCACACCGGAGCGAGAGGGTCTTAGGTCCTCTAAGGGCCAAGGGCTTGGCGGTAAGGCTGTGAGTCCATTCACAGAGCTGTGGCCCTTGTTTAGAAATGCAGACACTGAAATCTGACTTCACCATCTATTACAGAGTCTGGCTCCATTTTAGTCTTTGATCCTTGCAAGCCTAGACCCTTCCACCCATCTCTTCCCCAACCCCACTCATTCTGTCCTTAAGA